CAGGTTTGTCGCCGTCTGACTTCTTTTCGGCAATTTTATCAATTTCTGCAAATGACCATGAAGCTGTGAGTAGAATTTATATGAAGGATAAAAAAAGGTGCTTACCCTTAAAATCAACACCTTCGCCATCCAGCTCATGTTTTGACAAGCCTGGCGGCGCGTTTATGTCGCCAGTGTGTTGAAAGAAATGATAGGGCTTTACTTGTATCAAATTAGACGCCATATTCCAAACGTCCTCACGATCATCTATAATGCATACCATTGAATCGCCATTGGGAAAAAGCGCTCTATATAAAAAGGAAAACGTATTAGGAAAACACAAACGTAAGTCAACTACAAATACAGTGCAAGGAATTACTTTAGATTATCCGTCTTGCTGGTGGCATTGAAACACTCATCGCGCGACAAAATCCGATGGGAAAAGAACTTGCCATCCGGATCAAGCAGTTGGGCAATCATGTGTGCATAATTACGTGCACCAAAGGTGCAAATATGCAGTTCATACAGCTGTGACATGCGCTCCAAGAACTCAGCGGTGCCCGGGCGCAGACGCGTGTGATACCAGGGCGACTGTGGGCCATACAGTTGGAAGTGGTAGATGCCCTTAATGTTGTCCGGCACTGTATCGTTGGTAGTGTGTATAACCGTCTGATCGAGATCCACCAACAGCACCAGCTTGCGATCGGCGAGCAGGCGGCGTGTGTCATCGTGTCCAAGCTTTTGGGCCAGCTTCTGTGTAACTTTCAAATCGGGCATTGTGTGCACCATGGGCACCGATGCCTCAGATGTTTGTCCCTATTATTATTTTTATTGTCAATAAGATTTATGAATTAATAAGAAATTCTTTTCTTCATGCAAATTTTCTATGGTACTTACATTATCGTTCTGCCTTAAGTCTGCGCCGCAATCTGCGCACATGTCCTTGATAACGGTTGTGTGTATGCATTCGGATAACTCCAAAAGCGCATCTCTGAGCGGGAGAAAGAAAAACACATTTTATGTATACGCTCATGTGTTGCTGTGCTGCGGTGCGCTGTGTGGTGCAATAACTGCATTCCACCCACTGCCGCCCGCTCCTTTCGTTGCGACTTGGATTCACATACAAAAAGGAAGAAGAAGCAGATGAAGAGGAAAAACTCACCCTTTTATCACTATTTCGCCTTCTTTGCGTAGCCGCTTTCTAACCACTCCAGCTTGATTTGACTTGTATTTTAGAAAAGTGGCATCGCCCTTTTTGATTGGTTTCCCATCGTCGCCGAGCTGTTGGTACAGGAACAGGATTTGTGCCGCTGAAACGTTTTGCCCTTCGCGTACGCGCCATTTATTGATTCGTATGCGTGTCTCAGTCGCTCCAAGCGCTGCATTTACAATGATACGATTGGCGCCTCCAACGCCGCCGCCACCATCGTCCACATCCTTTCTTGGCTTCGACGCAATCTGGATGGCGTGCGTCTTGTCCTCTACGCTGGTCTTTTGCATACTTTATTTACAATTCGTGTATATATACAGATTTTAGTTTTGTTTAAATCTGTGGCTTGTTATGTTTTCAATTTGTGTGAATTGCCACAGCTCAAATTTGCCATTCTCCATCCGGGCGGACAGCTGTTTTTTGTTCATTGCAGTTATCGAAATATTGCAGTTTATCGATAACTACGTTGACGTTCCGGTTGATGTTGGCACGTTTTGTTTGTTTGGGTTTGTTTATACGTTTCATAGTGGTATAAAATGAGCGCGGAAATTGACCGAGAAGACTTAAAACGCAGCGCAACTGCAGATACAGCGGAATTAGAGAACGAAGCTACGCAGGAAACAGAAGCAGAGGGAGACGATGACGTCTGGATTGGACCGATGCCATCGGAACAAAGCTCGGCAGTGCCGGCAAAGAAAAAGAAAGGTAAACAAGCAAAATCAAACGCATATTATTCCCCCAATTATCTGATTTGTGTACTGTGCTTTAACAGTTTTGCCTTATGAACACATCTACTTGGAGAATCTGCCCAATGCTGAAAGCTATGAGCGCAGCTACATGCATCGCGACGTCATCACCCACTTAGTAAGCACCAAAACTGAATTCGTTGTCACCGCCAGCATAGATGGGCACATAAAGTTTTGGAAGAAAATGGACCTGGGCATCGACTTTGTTAAGCATTTTCGTAGTCATTTGGTGCCCGTTAAAACGCTGACAACAAATAGCAGTGGAACTTTACTCTGCTCGGCGGCGACCGATCAGACAGCAAAGGTTTTCGATGTAGTGAACTTTGACATGATCAATATTATACGTTTGGGCTATACGCCGCTTTGTAGCGAGTGGATAAGCTCGCCTGGAGATGCAGTTCAGGGCCTGGCCATGTAAATTGATGCGTAGAATATTTGTACATACATTTCTTTAACATATATTTACACACACCACAGCACCGACTCGGAAAGTAACAACATACACATTTATGATGGTCAGAGCGGTGGCGATGTCCTGTACACTCTGGACAAATTACATTCTGCGCCGGTCGTTGCTATGTGCTTTAATTTAGCCATGGAAACGGTCATCTCGGTTGATCGCAACGGTATATTGGAGTACTGGCAAAATTCCAGGCATGACTACAAATTTCCTCAGCGCTTAGTTAGTTTTGACTCCAAATTGGACACAAGTAAGTAGCTAAGCATACAGTTTATAAACGTAAACCTTAATTTATGAAATCCCTTCACAGGCCTCTTTGAGTTTGCCAAGAATAAAACGCAAGTTACGGGGCTAGCAGCAACGCCGGATGGCAAACGTTTTGCTGCCATTTCAACGGATCGCAAAGTGCGTGTATTTCAGTTCAATACGGGCAAATTGTTGCGTGTATTTGATGAGGCGCTCTCCACGTACACACAAATGCAGCAGACGCCGCATGCGCTGCCCAACATGGAGTTCGGCAGAAGGTTAGTATTCCTAACTTATAGCAATATAATTGCATTTTCAACTAAAGTCTGTTTCTCACACTTGCAGAATGGCTGCTGAGCGCGATTTGGAAAAGACTGCGCAAAATACAACGCTAAATATACTCTTCGATAGCACTGGACATTTCCTGCTCTATCCCACGATGCTGGGCATCAAAGTTATCAATGTGGCCACAAATCGCTGTGTCACAATTTTGGGTAAAACAGATAACATTCGACCATTGCAAGTGGCGCTGTTCCAAGGTAGAATCAAGCGACAAAAGGCTGCTATAACGCTCGAGCAGGAGGCTAGCGAGAATCCAGCGCTGCAGAACTTGCTCAATGATCCGACAGCTTTTTGCACAGCATACAAGTATGTACGCACACAAGAAGAAAGTAGATGAAAATAATGAAATATAAATCCCGTTTACAGAAAGAATCGGTTTTATATATATAGCAGGCGTCTGCCCTCGGATCTGCAAGATGTTGATCGTGACATATTTAATGAGAAGCCTTCGAAGGAGGACATCATTGCCGTGCCCGAGGCTCAAGGTAATTGCTAAAAGTTAAATAATACTAATCTTAACAATTACTAACAACTGTGTACTGTTTTTTACACGCTAACATTATTTAGATGAAGGTGTTTATATGTATTTTATGGGCTCTTAACTATAAACTTTATGAATTTTATGAATGCTTTTTAGTTATACAACGCATCTACGAAAATGTGGTACTGCACACCACTAAAGGTGATATACATATGAAACTGTTCTTTAAGGAGGTACCAAAAACGGTGGAAAACTTTTGTGTTCATGCGAAAAATGGGTAAGGATTCAATTTTCTTTCTTTATCTAAAACTCTTAACAAAGTATATTAAACTTTCTTCTTTAGTTACTACAACGGACATATATTCCATCGTGTGATCAAGGGCTTTATGGTGCAGACTGGGGATCCCACAGGCACGGGCACCGGTGGCAAGTCCATCTGGGGTCATGATTTTAAAGATGAATTCGTGCCGAGCTTAAAACATGATCGTCCGTATACTGTAAGCATGGCGAATGCTGGTCCCAATACAAATGGCAGCCAATTCTTTATAACAGTCCTGCCTACGGTAAGAGATGTTTTACATTTGTAATTTATTCTTATTTCAAATCTTTTGGTTTATTTTATTTCAAGCCTTGGCTGGACAACAAACATACGGTGTTCGGCCGTGTGTATCGTGGCATGGAAGTCGTGCTGAACATATGCAATGCTAAGGCAAATCCCAAAACCGATAAGCCCTACGATGATATTAAAATAATTTCAATACATTTAAGTAATTAGGCAAAAAGTAGCAATAAATAAAAGTTTTTATAAATTGTAGTAATTGTTTAAAATATTGTACCACGCCACCTGTTGGTAAATATGAGTACTACTAAATTAATTTTTGGTATTTCAGCGTTGCTTACAGCAGGGTCACACTGAACAGCTGTTTATGCAGTTTCACCGTAGTCTCCCCCGTGTATACCCGTTGAACGAGCTGAACCCTAACAAATTGTTAATTAACATTTTAAATGGTGATTTATTATTACTAGTATATAGTTTGCTATTATATTACCAATATAAAGACGCGAGCATAGTAAAATTAAGGTAAATATATGCACAAACACCAGCAAACTCTGGTTCGTTGCGTATGCGGGCGTGAATTTCTTAATATTTGTTTGGTAAAGAAAACAAAGAAAAAAGTTCTATTAGTGCAGCTTATCAGAAATCTATATACAATCTGTGCGCTCTAAAATCTAGCTATTTGGTGCGTTAAATTGTGCCAAGTCAAGCTGCGCTGCATATGTGCAAAGACAATTATGTATATACAAACATATGTGTGTGTGTGTATGTGTGTGTGTGTGTATGTTTGCAAGCTTTTGCTTATCAGCATAAACAATAGCGGAACCACACGTCGAGGAAACTCTTTACTGCGATTATATTAGTCATACAGAAAGCCGAATACACGAATACAAATAAATATTAGTTATTTGGCATTCTTATCAATGGGGCAGTTGGTGTGTCGAGCGCACTTGTTAGCTGATTAAAAGAAACCAATATGCTTGATATAAACAACAATTGTTAATTATATTGAATTACAGTTGGATTTGCAGTGTTTTGCTAAAATGAGCTAAGACCTTAAAACCAGCCACGCACAGCCATGTCCCAAAATGATTCGGATGATGTACGCAGCACAGCTCAGCTTCTGCTCACAAATGCTCGGCATGGCGGCAATCCCTACCACATGCCGTACGATATGCGTAAGTAGTGAATGCACCCCCATATCATACCTATTATATTTTATTCTAAATAATATTTGTTGTTTATACAGCGCGACCGCATTCCATAAATTTGTTTACGGAGGAGTTCCTGGGCGGCTATATGCAGGATGGACGCATGTCTGTGGTGCGACGTTTCTTCTGCTTGTTTGTCACCTTCGATTTGGTGTTCGTTTCGCTGCTTTGGCTGATTTGCATAGTCGTATGTATACAGCGGGTGTCTGCACAAGAGAATGCTCAATTTTTCTATTTTCTGCGTAGATTGGTGGCGACAACATATTCCAGGCCTTTCAGAAACAAGTCATGCAGTATACCATATACACATCGCTTTTTGATGTAGTTGCCACGGCGCTTTGCCGCTTCGTAGTTTTAATCTTTTTCTATGCATTGCTGTATATAAATCATTGGTCCATTATAGCGGTAAGCGACTGTCGTTTGATTCTCGTATATCTTTAATTTGTAACTTGCAACTTGCAGCTTTCCACAAGCGCCTCATGTTTGTTTCTCATCACCAAAGTGTTTTTCTATGATGTAAGTTTATCCATTATAGATCCGCATTAAGTTTTAATGTTACAATATTTCCTTATTTTTAGTGGGTGCACTCCAAACAGCAAGTATTCGAGGTGATACTCATTATAACATCATTCATTCTCGCCTGGGGTGAGGCTTGGTTTCTGGACTGCCGTGTGATACCCCAGGAGCGGCATGCCCGTCGTTATTTTGCAGGTAAATCTTGTGATCCATTCGATATTTGTATTTATTTATTCCAAACCATCTTCTGTTGCTTAGCTGCGAGCACAAATGATCGCACAACATTAACGCAGCCAACGATCTTGACTGAACACGAGCGCCCACCGCAAAGCGTCACCGATTTCTATTCACCCTTGGACACGGCACATCATTCTGACGAAGAGGAGGAAGAGGTCAGCTAAGTATTTATGCATGCGCATACTTAAAATAAACTTTGAATAAAACAATTGTACCGTGCATCATCTATAAAAGATGCTGACATCTAGTTTTTAGGCAACAAAAGCACTCTCACAATGTTGCTGGTAGTTATTTGTACCTATAGCCATTTATTTATATGTATATTTACCTTTTGCACAATGCACAGGATGAGGAGTACAATCAAATGGGCTTGGATTGCCTGCGCAAGGCATATGAACTTATTGAGTCCACAGATTGGAAAGTGGAGAAGGTAACGCCCAAGGGCGACACAATACACAGCACGCAGCGAGATAAAATTGGCAAAATTTATAAATTAACGGTGCGTAGATTTAATTATTAAGACTGAATTTTAATTGATTTACTTTCTTTAATTCAGGCGCGTCTTAAGTATCCCGCCAAAGCGCTTATGGAGGAGCTGTTCTACCGCATTGAAGATGTCCCAAAATGGAATCCAACGCTTTTAGAGTCCAAGATAGTTCGGGTAAGTAGTTAATAGTTATTCATGTCGATTAGATATTTAAAAATAATTTAAATAAATAGTTGTCATTTGTAGCAAGGCTATAATGTAATTTTGTAAATCGTTTAATTATATAAAATTTGATTTTATAATAATATTCTTCTGTACACTTGCTGAATCCTGTTAGAAAATCAATTCGTACACCGATATTACCTATCAAGTTTCCGTTGGCGGCGGCGGTGGCATGGTAAAGAGTCGCGATTTTGTCAACTTGCGTTCGTGTCGTTTAATTTACAATGGCAAAATCTGTGATGACGACGAGGTGGCTAAGCTTAGCAGCGAGGACGAGGACGATAACTCTCTAAACCGATCTTTTGAGGGCAGTGTAACCACCTTATCGGATAATGAATCGCAGACACCACAAACCGGCAGTGTTGGTAGCTATCGCAACAAGTATTTTGGCCAGAGTTCGTTGCCGCCGGCGGAGGGCACTGCGGCTGCGACGGCCCCAACGACACCCTACGACACATTGAGCAAAAGTTTGGGCGCTAAGAGTTTAGGCACTGCCTTAACGTTTAATGTCGAGCCACCGCCACTGGATGATGCATTCGAGGATGCCAAAGATCAGCTAGATGATACGCCGCCCATAGTGAAGAGCGTATTAACGCCGACAGATACTGTGGTAGGCAAGACCAATGACAAGGTGTGGATGAGCGCGGCAATTAGTGTGGAGTATCCAGCCGTGCCGGCCACAGCGAAGTATACGAGGTAAGGAATAAGTCTCTATAGATAATTGATGATTAAAATAATGCGGATTTGTTATCTGAGCAGAGGCGAGAACATAGTGTCGGGCTTTGCGTTTCGAGAAATCATTGGCAAATCGGATGGCTGCATATTGGAGTGGGTGCTGTGCCTGGATCTGAAGGGCTATATACCACGCTATGTGCTAGATGCAGTGAGTGTATATTTATATTATATTATTATATTAATATTTATTAATATATATATTTTCTTTTATTTATTTTGCCAGGCACTCACCTCATCCATGGTGGACTATATGAAATACCTGCGCAAGCACATAAATGAGCTACGACAGCGTCGACGGCGTTGATCCTGCAGTTCTCTTGTACATAGACTAATACGATAGGTCGTTAATATAAAGTTTCTGCAGCATATTCAAATTGTATTCTATAAACACAAAAAACTCTACGTAATTATATTCTAATTGTATCTCAAGCGCATGCACGCGTGTTAGTTAACTTTAGAAGACAGAAAAAACAACAGAGTCAAGTGCATTGCTCGTAAGTTTATTGAGTATGTATTGTATATGCTATATAGGTATTGTAAGTTTATGTATATGGACGACTTAACTAATACATTTTATACGCGATTTTTTTGTAATTGTATTTAGTCGCTGTTGGTGATTCGGCAGCTACAACATCTAGTATTAGTTTGCTTTAGAATGCGTAAGTTTAAGATCAGTCTCAGGGCTTGCTCCTATTTGCTATCGTTCTGGGGAAACCAGCCTTGACACGCCTCCACGGCCACCTCGCAAACAGCGCCCATTGCCTTGGCATTGTCATAGTCTAAGCAGATTTATTATCCTACGGTTATTATCCATGATTTTTGGTATTTTCTAAGCGAACTTACCCAAAGCATTGCGCTTGCCAAAGATGCTGCCATTAAACGGTGGCTTCCTGTAGGCTGCCTCGCTGCTGTGCAGCAGAATGGCCGCCACAATAATGGTGACCAGTAGCAAAGTTAGTGTACATCTAAGTGCGGCCATTGTGTAGTCTTTATGCGGCGTGGTGTGGCGTGTGAAAAGGCTGGAAACTGTTTGCTGTCGGAACGTTGAAGTTGAAGTGTGATTTGTGGTTGCCAGGACTGTCGCTTTTATAGGCTGCCGAGAAGCTAGGACACCCTTAGTGTCCTGTGTGCCACCCCGCCTCGGCTAATTGAGTTATGCTCGTGTTAATTGAAAAGAAAAATAGCTTGAGGGAATTGGTTTTTTTTTCTGTGGCGTGTCCTAACATAAAATTTAATTGATATACTACATTTAATTAAGTACAAGCGATTCAAAAATGCACCAGTTCCGAAATTAAAATAAATTAAATAGATCAGCTTATAGGCCGAACTAAAATACTGCCTTGCTACCCGCATTCCAATCGAGCACCTTGCTGAATTCCTTCTCGCCAAAGCCAATGGCCACCGCCTGCTCCACGCAGCTATTCTGCCGCTTCAGGTTGTCAATCATAAAGAGCTGCTTCTTGTAGGCATTCAGGAGGTCGGCACGCTGGCGTTTCAGGGCTTTAATGCGACCATCTCGCAACTTGAGCTCCTTGCGATTGTACTCGAGATCGTCGCGCTGCTGGCTAGCCTGCTGGCTGAGCATCTGGCGACTGGTTTCGGCATCTTCGCTGGCGCGTATTAGGCGATTCTCCAGATTGGCATTGGTTTGCTTCAGCATTTTAGTGTCGCGCCGCAGCAGCTCCAACTCGTGCTGTTGGTTGTTGTACTCCACTTGGCGCTCCTTTTGCCTGCGGTTGGCCTCCTCGGACTGCAGTTCGAGACGATGCAGCTGCTCGGATAGCTTGACGTTCGAGTTCAATGCCTGATCCCGTTGACTTTCCGCCTTGCGCAATGCATCAAGTGCCTGCTCCAAGCGCTCCTTCTGATCGGTCATGTCCTGCGTCAGCTGTCCGTGATCCTCCTCCAAAATGGTGACCTTGGCTTTGAGAAATCTTTAAAAAAAAGAATACAATAAGTATTGAATGAAGTTGAGTTCTCAATTCGCACACACACCTGATGAAGTTGTCCTGCGTTAGCTGCTTCTTGGATTGTCCATTGACCACCGTTGTGCTCTCGCGTGTCTGCTGCACTACCTCTAGCTCCACCGCCGGCTGTTGCTGCGCGTCTAGGCCATCGCCGTGCCGCAACAGAATATCCAACGATGGACTTTGCTTGAAATTCGGATTGCGATACTTGACGTATGTGGCCGTTTTATGGCTTGCCCTACGCGTAAAGGTACTATCGATTCGGCCAGCCGGCTGCTGTGCGCCGCCGTTGTTGTTGGCGTTGTTGTTGTTGTTGATGTTGTTGTTGTTGTTGCTGTTGTTGCTGTTGTTGTTGGTTGTTGGGGCTTGTTTGGTCTGCGCCTTGCCCAGCCGCCAGTCGGGCATCTTGGACTTGTTCAATTGCGACATTAGGGTCGTCGTGGGCTTGCACCGTGGTGTTGTCACCTGCGTCGATGGCGGTGTCAATGTTGTTGGTGTTGTTGCAGCACTTTTAATGGGCGATCTGAGCGCCCGTGATCCTTTGTGGCCACGCCTGGCCGTTGTCCTGGCGCTGCCGCTGCCGCCATCCACATTCATTTTCTTTTTTAGCAACGTGCTGGGACCCTTCTGCTTGAGATAGGTGCTATAGCGGGACTGAGTGACCGCATGGCTGCCATCTTCGGCGGGATTCAGTGCCATCAGATTTAGCTCCTGATTAATATTGAAGAGTTCCTTTTCGCGCGACAAGATCTCGGCCATAATGCCGTTAAATTGTATTTTGAATTGTCTCCTTCTTGGACACTTGCCTTGAATGAGCTAATCTACTTAGATCTGATGAACCCTTTTTCAACAAGAAATTTTTACAAATATTTATTTAATTGGCAAGCTGCCTCCTCCGTTCGGAGCTTTGCCTTTATCTGAGTCAAAACGCAGACCCTGCTTTGATTTTGACACCTGCCACACCAAGTACATAAACAATTGTTCTACTGTAACCAAGGGCTACCCGCAACATTGGACATGTCCGTAGTAGGTATCTCAGGCGGGGGTTGTTTTTGTTTTTGTTATTTTTTTTTTTTTGTTTTCTAGTGCGACTGTTGCTATTGTTATGCCCCCACCCTCCCCAGTCGGACGTGTCTTAAGGCCAACGACTTGTGAATTTATGTACCTGTCAGCTTGGCATATTATGAACTTGGCTCAGTCCGTGGGCGTTCCTGCTTGGAACTGTTGCCAAAAAAAATATTCACGCATTGCGTGGGCTTTTCGTATTTCTAGACAAATGCTGTTGCTCTTTAGAATTTTGTGATGTAATTGCAATTGATTGACTGTTGCCAACAGAGCTGATGGAACCCACTTAAATGTCCATTCAGGCGCTGAGTCAGCTTACGAAATTCATAAACTAATCACATAATTGGGTTTCTTGCGATTTTCAAGCTAAAACTGAAATAATTTTGATTCTGCATTCGAATTGTTTTTTTGTGGATAGAAAATGTGTCCAAATTATATTTTTGTTAAAAATATCTTGTACTTACCTTACATTTTATGGCTTTTATTATTTAAAAAAAATATGAATTTAACAATTTTGATCTTTACTCAATTTCATGCATAAAAATTGTTTTAAAATTCATTTTCGATACTTTTCTCTGTTCATGCTTTATTCAATGCATTTTTACTGCATGTACATTGTATAGAATACCCTGTAATTTTTTTTTATTTTTATTTTTAAACACATTTTTCAATATTTCTAGCAAAGGTGTCAAAAGACAACTTTTCAATTATTAACTTGAAATTTTGTTTCTAAGTAGAATAATTTTATTCATTCATTTATTGTTAAATAAATTTATTGGTAGCATAATTCTGAACAAAAAAAAATAAATAGAGAATAATTTTAAAAACGTTTTCCTCTTGTTTTAGCTAAGGTGTCAAAAGACGCCTTTTGGTTGAAAACCTTGTTAGTAATGGTATTAAATAGCATGCTAAGGCTCTGATTATTTCATAGACAGTTATTTACTGCATAAATATTTTAGAATTTTATTTTCTTATACATTTGACAGCCGGAAAGTGCATCGATTCTGGAGCTCTCCAGGCACGTAAAGATCTGGAAATTCCTGCACGTCTGTCGACGAACTTTTGACATTGAGCATCGAACAAGAGAAGCACGCATGATAATCATAAATATTGGTATAACTAAAAATATAAATAGAAACGTTCAAGTTAATGGGAAACGTCAACAATTGGCCGCATGAGAGGCGGCCCCGACCAAGGCTAACAGCAGCAGCGGCAGCGGCAGCAGCAGCTGAAAACGAGGAAAAGGTTCTACTGGCCACTACCTGCGTGGTTGGAAAATGTAAATGCAAGTTCAAGATTTATGTAGCTTCAACAGAAGACGGACCGTAGTTAGCGTATTGTCAGCTATGACTATATGTATGTATATTAATGTGTGTATATGAGTATTTGCCGTATATGCCGTCATCAAGGCATTCTGGTGTCAGCCCACACATTGATTCTGTTTGCGGAGCTCTCGACTTGCTGCTCAGTTGCTGCCAAGACGTAGCTCAACTTGGCGACTCTCCGACTGCATTCGGCAAGCTCGAAAAGTCGGCTTAGTTAGCTGCGTTAACCAAGCATGACGTGATTCGGGTCTGCAGGGATACATGGGCTGGAATCTCTAATTACGCGGCAGGCGCGCGCTCATTAGAAAGAGAAACAATCTCAGGTGAGAACTAGAAATGACACCTAACTGCGGCAGGCCGACTATTAAATACACTTGCACGGATATAGCAGTTCGATTTAAATGTGCTTCTGCTTTATACGAAAAATCCGTTTTTAAACCATTTTTTCGATGGCAGCTTTGTGATATAGTATTCCGATGTTGACAAGATTCTTTTTCATAGGATGTAGTTAGGATGTCTTTATAAAAGTACATACACGAACTTAATTTTCGACAGATCAGCTCAACTCTACTTTTAGTATATATATACGATACTTTGCAACGATCTATCAAAATAGACTTTAAACTAAGATGATCTGATCTGAGCTGATCTGTCTAGACACAGATAGAGAAATCGACTTGACTATATCGATGCAACTTCTATTACTGAACGAGAATTTATATATATACTTTATTGCTTCGGATTTGTTCATTTTGATGGATAGCACATATCGTGACAATATTAAAATATGTATGTATATAAAGTATATATATATAAAGTATTTAAATACTCTTTTACCTCGGATGTATCCACTTTGATGTGTCTCGGATTTCGTGACGATATTAAAATACCCTTTGGCTAGGGCATAAGAAGAGCGTCAGCCGAGCGTGGCACAGGGCCCAAGTGCAACCGGTGTGTGGGCCAGTTGTTGCTTCTATTATTGTTGTAGTAGTTGTTGTTGTTGCTGAAAAACTGCCAACACCAGGCAACAACGCACACACACACACAACAAGTGACAGACGCGCCAAGAAGAGCGCGGCGCCAAATAAGAGCGGGCTTGGCTTGCCAATTACTCCGACTGCGACTCCGAAAACTTGGCCAGACCGGTTGCTGCCTAGATATTGTTGTTGTTGTTGTTGTCGGTGTTGACTGGCCGTCTTGACTTTAGAGCCAAGCGTCTGTTCAGTTCAGTCTTGGCCAGGTCGGTGTGCGAGACACATCCACAGCAAATAAGAAGCGCGGTCCGTACGTCGCGCGCGCTCTCCCGCGTTTTGCCTTTGATTCGAGTTCCGAGCCGTCGAATCGCAGATGAGAAACGAGCATGTACGTGTTTAGCAGTTAGAGTGTGAATCGCCTTAATCTTGAGGCATGAAATGGTTCTAAATTGGGCTGGCTTTTTTTTTAACTGCGAACGTGCAAACGCATTTGTGACGCTGCCAAAGTCAAAGAAAATTTTCGTTTGAATTTTTGTCGTTGTCGATTGTTGCTGCCCTTGGCGGGCGATCAACTTGTTGTTGTTGTTGTTGTTGTTGCTGTTGTTATAAGGCACAGCGGGTGGCTTAACTAACAGTTAATTCCGACTTCATCACGAAATCTTGACAACAATAACAAAAAACAAACGAAATTTGTGTAAATTGACCGCAAGTTTGTTGCCTAAGTCTTTTGTTTTTCGCTTGTTGCTAGCACTTATATACACAACTATATCTTTCGCTCTTAACCTGGGCTTTTGGCTCTTAAAGCCGCTCTTCGCTCTTGCAAGTTTTTGCAGCTTTATTTTAGCCAGTCCCCATCGTAATTGTTGTTTTATTTTCTACAGCCTGCATATGTAAATCGAGTGGAAAGAGGAAGTTAAGCAAATTGAATTAATGCAAATTTGGCCAGCCAAAGAAAACCTAACAAATTATGCGCCTGTGAAAGAAACAAATTAATGGGCACACACACAAAGCATGATAAATTGTAAAAATTGTACAAATATATTTCCACATATTTTGGCAAACAAAAAGTTGATCACAAATAAATATATACACGTGTAAAACAAAGGCCACATAACTAATTGGATTACGCAAAGCAACTAAAACGGGACGAGACCGTTGGTATAAGGTAAGTTTGGAGTTTCTTTTTGGAGTTTATTTCTTTTTTTTTGGCAAATGTGAACCGCTAGAGTTTAATTATGCACATATTGTCCAGCTCGGAGCAGATCGCGACGTATTCAATATGGCGCTGGGTGTTTTATTTTTTTCTTATATTTCTTTTTGATGTTTTGCCGTTTGCAAAATTGCAAGCTAAGCCACAAAAGATGACTTCATAAATCGCCGTCTACTGAGGCGGTCCTCATCTTTGAAACCGGTTCGGTTCGTTCGGGCTCTGACTTAAGGTTCGCTTGCGCACAAATTCGTATATGAAGAAAATGTTTCAGGCCATGCGCAAATGTTTTGTGCGCAAAATTCAATGTAATGGACGGCTTTTTTTTTGTTTTTTTTTTTTGGTCAGCCAGCTTTTAGCTGCGTTTTTCCTGTCGCAACTGTCTTCAAGTCCGTTCGATCTGTGCGCATTGAACCTGTTCCTCAAGGTTAGACCCGTCCCAAATCGGCTGACACATGCTGCTCCCAAGTTCGCTCAGCTCTTGCCGCACAGTTACATCATCGGACAAACATGGAGATGCGACAATTTTGCTGCCACTTATTAGCTTGCATGACGCGGCATGCCACAATGCGTAGCATATGCCCCTCTCCATATATTATTATGGACATTGTAATAGCCACGTCACGGACATCCGCTTTTGTTGCTTTCTGCCGCTCGGCTGCATGTCCGGCATGTTTAATTGTAATCAGCGGAAAACTGTGAAAATTCAAACCCAGCAAACGTTCTCAGCACTGAGAAATATATAAATAGCTGCACAGAACGTTTAGGTATTAAAAGAAAGAATACTTTCGGCTAGAGTGCTCGACTAAAAGATACTGTACTCCCGTCTGCAGTTCTCTTAATATTTTTGTTGTTGTTTCCCGCTTTTAATGTCGTCGACGAGTTTGACAGGCTCCGGCAAATGGACCGACACACATAATCTGCCTCTTCCAGTCGCTTGCACAACTTTATTATAGTCTTTTAATACGCTGTTGTCCAAGTTAAGTGGAGTATTAAAACTAGATTTGTTATAGCTAGAGATTTGTAGATTTTTGTCAAGCAAACGCATACATCTTAGCTTAAAAGTTAACTTTTCCCTTAAGCTCTTAAGCTTGAATCACAGACTCAATATAAACTAGTACGCATAGAAACAGACAGACGGATAGACGGCTATATTGACTCGGCTGTTGATACTGATCATGAATATATATACTTTATGGGGTCGGAGATGTCTCCTTCTATGCGTTACCCATTTCACGACACAATTATAATACCCTCTGCAAGGGTATAAAAATCAACTAAAGCTCTAGTTACCAGTACGTTTCCATTCTGAAATCTTCTCAAGTATTAACATGGCTTTTCCTCGTCTGTTTATATACCTTTTATTACACTACCAATAGAGTATCAAGCCGTCGTTTATTTCTAACTGTCAGGGTTTTAGTTTACTTTAGTTTTCTAGCAATATTTATGGGCATCGAAATGCCAGGCAATTGCTTTATGTATACATCTGCCTTTTACGTTGTAATTCCCAACTAGTTCTGATGAAAACGAAACAGCAAGTTCTTCAGCAAGCCAAGTTATTGTTGTAATACAAATGTATGCTATTTTTGATTCAATACGATAAACACTAAAAAAAAGTGCAGTTATTGCCACTCTAAGAAGTGAGGCCTTTTCCGTAAGAGAAAAGCAATTTTCAACGCATTTCCATTTACTCATAAACAGCCCACATGATTTTTAAGTACTAGAATCTATTGCTAATTGGCTGGCAAACATTTCGAAAGAAACTCTTGAATAACATTAATCATAGCCCGAGACCAGCATAGGCTGCGGCTCTTGCTAACTATTGGCTGCGAGTACACCGAGAAAAAAGCTTGTCTAAACTTTTAGCACTTCTACGGGAAGGCCTTAACCATTATTATGACTCTGCGTTTCGTTTGCTTTATTGTTATTGTTGTTGTTGTTGCTGCTGATGCTGTTGTTGTGTTGGCGTCTAAAGAAGCAATTAGAAAATTTGATTGATTGACAGCTGAGCGAAAGAGCGAGAGAGAGAGGGAGAGGACGAGAGATGAACGACTTGCATCATCAACATTGGAGAATTGAATGAAAATGTTTTTTCGGTCATTTTTCCTGAACCCTGCCAGCCGCTTGATGCATGGCCTATTAATTGGTTAATTTGTGGTTGTTAACTATCAAAATATTTTCGTATAATGTGTGTTGACTGCAACACCTTTTGTTGTGAATAATTGCGGGCAATCGTCGGCGTTGGCCTCTCAACCGAGCTAATAGAATCTCAGAATCTATAGATTCTACCAACATGTGGGCAACTGTTGGCAGACGCCAACGCACAAGTCAAAAAAATCAAATTTCAATAATTATAAAAGGCAACAAAGCAAGTAGCAAGACCAGTTTTCTTATATATATGTAGTTATATATATACACACACGTACACAATTTATGCGGCACTTCTTGTCCATAATGAACTTAACTTGTTTATATAACAAACACACCAAGCAGCTCGACTGACCTTGAGACAAACGCGCGGCCCCACAAAAATGCGTCGAAAAAATCATTTTTTGTTGTTTATTATTTCGTTGTTGTTGTGCTCTGCTTTTAATTTATAAATTTTGGTTTTTTTTTGGCATATTGCCTCATTGCAAAGCACTTGAAAAGTGAATTGCGGTTACAACATTTGCGGCAGCATCTTTGAAAACGGGCCAACTATTATTTACATATTGATTGGTGAGCTTTAAATATTTTTATGACGCACTACTCTTAGCAATAAGAAAACCCATTTGATTGCCAGTTTGTTGAGTTCACGAACTTAATAATTGATTTTTAATCGCTTTGCCATATGTTGCCAGCTTAAAAGAACACGCAAAGAAAGCTCAAAACGAAGCGAAGAAAAAAAGGTTCGTTCAACCTGCGCGAAGAACTTACAATGTTAAAATCCATTTTTGGCTTCCCTATACACGTTGTTTTTTTTGGCAACAATATTGATTTACAGTTGAGGTAACAAGCGGCTAACGGCTTTCAAAACGAAAGACTTAGGCAACAAACTTAACAGTGCTCTCTCGCTATCTGCCACGCATTACTCATAAGCATGCTGTCTCTCTCTCTCTCTATCTCTACCTCGCTTCCTCTTCTCCCTCGCTCACTCTCTAATTATGCAAATCTGTATTTCTGCAGCTTTGGGTTTTTTTTTGTTCATTTTGCTGAAAGGCGTGCCCAACAATTTGCTTTGGCGCATGTGAGTCAGCCGCCGAGCTGGATTAAACTCCAGTCGAACAATCAGTTGTTGTCTGTTTGTTTTAAATGAAAAGTAGTCTGGCTAGATTCGGTGCAGCCACGGCTACAACGTGTCCAAGTCCAAAAGCCAACTTAAATGCAGGCTTTTACCTTAAAAAAAAATCAAAATAATACAAACAACCGCTGCGTGGGTTAGTCTGGGTCTGGGCAATGTTGCTCGCAATTGTACAATCGTTCACAGAAACACTTTCAAATACAAACCAAGTGGGGCGTAGGTGTGTCCAACTGGCTGACAAAAAAAAAAAACAAAAAAACTGGTGCATGTACTCATGACTTTTGAACCAGGTCGCTTGAATTTGCACAAATTTTTCGTGTTCTTTTTATATACCCTATAATAAATGGGCTCAATAGCTAGGTAGGCAACAGCTTGTATTACTTAAGCTATAATTCCAGCTCTAGTTCCTCATCAAACCGTTGAAAAACTTTATCTATTATTTGCAGAATGATATAGATATATAGATATATTATACGCTAATCAAGCTTACTCTACAATTCGGGCTTATTTCTAATATCGATAAATATCGATTGTTAAACATTATAAATAGTAAAATCGAACTTAAGCCATAGAACATTTGCTACCTGTTATTGAAATTAATAAACTATCTATTCCATAATGTAGAAAACTTTTCAACATGACTGTATATATAAAGATTTATATGATAGATACGATGTGTATGTATATTAAAATCAAGTAAAATATATTTCCTCTGAACAGAATTTTCTCTAAATATCTTTTTTCTTCATTTGAAGCACGCTGAAAAGTTTGTTGATACTTATAAAGTATGGGCTGCAAGTTACTTTATTTCTTTAAGATTTCGTTCTTTATATTTTTAGTTTAACAATCTTCATTGAGTTCTACAAGCAAATATATTTTTAGTTACTGCCGCCCATAAAAGGCTGTCTCTACTAGTTATTAATGCTACAAAGAACGCATTAATGATGTTTCATAAATTACTTTCGCGACGTAAACGTGTTTCATAATTTCAGTTTAATGACTTCTCTTTGAGTTTCAAATTCCCAATTAACAATAAAAATAGATCCGCGGTAGCCAATGCCGCTGGAGGTCTCCACTTAAAGTACTTCTAGGCACAGGCCAGTTGCTAAAATGAAAAAAAAACTGAAACGGAACTGTTGAGCGTTTGGCAAAACTTGTTTTGCGCCGGCCCCAGGTAGGCAGCACACAGACAATGGGCGCCAGGGCAAAGCTAAAAACAGAAGAAAAAAAAACAAAAAATTGGCAACGGCCAGCGCAAAGTAAATGTCTGGCAGCTGAAAATGCTGTAGTTGTTGTCTGATAAAAATCGAAACATATTCAAGTCCTACGGCTATTCAAGCTGAGCTCAAGTCACGTTCATTGCGAATTTCAGCTGCGTGTTTTTTTTTTTTTTTTGGCTAACATAAAGCTGGAAAAGAAAATATAAATTAGGCGTCAAAAATAGCTGTGCGAAAGAAAAAAAACTGCCTCTGGGTGCGTCTTGTGGGTGCTCAAAAAAAACATTGGAATATATTTTGAGCATTTGGCGGAGCTGCTGTCACAGCTTAATTGGAGATCTTGACAAATCAACAGCGAAAACAATTTGTACAAATTTTACGTAACTGCGTGGCGAGCAATAAAAACAAAAGAAGAAAATTGAAAAATAAAAGACGCTGCGCATTTGGCTTATGTATTTTTG